TTGAAAAAAGTTGTTGGGAGAAGGCAGATAAAAACACAGCCAAGTTTTATGAATGAGGTATGGCTTGTCACAGAAACATTAAGAGGTGGATTAGAAGAGTCTTAAAGGCAGCAGCTAAGGGTGTGCTAAGTAGATGGATATTCATTTGGACCGTTAGGGAAGGAGGGGAGTCAGTGAGTGAGGAGAACAGAGACCTGGAAGTTGGCTTGACCTTGGGTGGAAGCTAGTGCCGACTCCAAAGCCGAGAACCCCAGGCAGAGGAGCAAGTTCCGGAAAGGGAGAAGTGTTACTTCAAAAATGACTGGTTTGCTTTTAAAAGATTTGTGTGGCCAGGGTTATGTTTGTGAGACCAAAAGCAAACAAATGTCTGGTTCCAAGATTTGGTGAAGCTTTAGCCTGTTGCTAATGTGGTATAAGTGCTGCCACCAGCAGCAGTGGTCACTTTGAGTATCTGCCATGTGCCTGCCCTCGTGCTGAATATTCTGCAGGCGCCGTCTAGCTAAATGTCATGAAAACCTTGTTACTCTAAGGAACTATTTGTATCCTCCCTTTATGGATCTGGCGATTGAAACTTAGATCTGAAAAGTAACCTCGCCAACATCAAGAGCTGAAATTTGAACCCAGGCCCAAGTGATTTCAAAACCAAGTCTCTCTCATTGGTCGTTGCTGTAGCAGATGCTGTCTGTTCCTTTGTAAAACCTATTCTGAGATCTACGGCCCTCCTGAGTTTTCAAGGCTCTAGCATGTCTCCATGCTTCTGGTCCCTCTAGGACACCCGGAAGAGGCAGAAGCTGTCAGTTGTACTGTAATTATGAGTCTTTATCAAATCCTCTCATGGAATATGAGTATAAAGGAAGTTGTGTCTATGAAAGCAGATAAAATTCTTTGTAGAGATTCAGAGAAGACTGATAGATAGCTCAAGAAAATTAGATTGAAAAGGAAATGCAAAAGAGAAAAGCTATAAAAATCTAGAGGAATTTCACACTCATTTTGCCTTGCAAGTATCTTTTCCATCATTTTGAGACAGTGCATTAATTCTTCAGAGTATACAAGCTCTGTTCTGGTTTATATTAAGGAGTACGTGAAACATCAGTCAGCATACCTGTGAGCCAAACCTTTTGAAGGAGACTTCTGTGCGCTTGCCCAGGGTGAGCATACTATGAGAGAAAAGAGGACAAGAACTTTGGGGCTCACTACAGGCAGGCGCACGTCTTCAGAGTGAACTGAGGATAAGGTTCAAAGATGCAGAGAGTGCATCTCAACACAACAGGATTATGCACCAGGGCTTTTGGTTGGAGAAAAATGAAAGGAATGTATTTCCATCTATTTTTCTGCAAAGCTTTAGTTCTGTAGACTGCAAACAGCATAGCATAGAAGAAAGAGCATAGGCCGTGGGATATGTTAAATGTGTAGCTTCAGGAACATAACTAATTGATCTTGAGGAAAGTTTCTGAGCCTCAGTTTCCTCAAGTTAACATGGTATAGTAATATCAGACAGTTTTTAAAGAATGTACAGTGTTGGGCACATTGTAAGTTACAAAAAAAAAAAAAAAATCACTATTCTTTTTTTTACCCCTTTGGGAGGCTGTTTAAAAATATGTTAGTCAAGAAGGTAGATAAGATGATGAAATGGCAAGAACTATTCTTGCCTCATTTAAAGTAGATTTGCAAGTTGGGACAAAGAACTTTCAAGAGTTTCTGTTTACTTAAAAGATGTTGAGTATTTTCAGAATAAAGAGATAAAGAGAAGAAGGATCAGGATACCAATGGAAACACTTTGTTGTAGCAGTTTTGGGGGGGGGGGGTACAACATTGTCAATTTTCCTCTGTAAATGTCAAATTCAATCCAATTTAATTTTGAGGTTTATGAAATTCTGTATCAGTCCATGTAATTTATTTTATATTTGCTGACTAACTGTAAAAGTAATTTCCATTTTCCACAAAGATAAAAGAATTAGAAGAACATATATTCTGAGTCTACTAAATGCAACTTTTAAACTTCCAGGTGTTTATGGGGTTCTGTAGTAAATCCATACTTTATTCTAAAGCCTGTTTAGGATAGGAGTGATAAATAATCAACGAGAGAGAATGGCAACATGCTTTTAAACACTATATTCAGAGTTTCTGATAAATAATAGTAGAATAAAGACAGTAAAATACACATCTTGTCCTCAGGATGCTTATGAGATTAATTAGAGAAAACACTAGTAGGTGGAAAGATGAAATGAAAGATAACAAATTTTAACAGAATTGCAGGCAGTTTGGGTATTGAGAAGGAGACTGGCAAAGTGAAAAAAACAAATCAAAACAATTCTTAGTGACTTACATTTATAAAAATGATTTCGATGACTCAAATGGATAACAAAGCCAGAATTACACTTAGAGGTGAGAACTGCATATATTGTACAAACCCTAATCCTGTTATTCACTAAAAGGAGTGTTAAAAAATTAATGTGATATAATGCTGCCTTCTCATCAAATGACTTTACAGGGCATTTTCTTGATAGGTTAGAAAACTTCCTAGCAGGTTATAGATATTACCAAGTAAATGCAATTGGCATTCTTGGATTCATTTTTTAAAAAATATTTTTCAAGATCCTATTATAGGTTAGGCCTCTTCCTAGGCACATATTTATGTTCATTCCCTTAGATGTGGTGAAGAAGTATCTATTTTCAAGCTGTTAAAGGAAAATCAAATCATTCGTTTCAACTCTTAGGTTTAAAAAGTGCTATGCCATCATCAGACTTGAAATTTAACTTCAGATTTTACTGAATCATTCATGATGTTTATCAAATTGATGTGATATAGAAGTGAACTTTATATACCGAGCTTAGGCCTTCATACTTGCTGGTGGTTGTAACTACAGGGTTAAGAATAAGTGCAGAGTTTTACACCTCTAAATCAGAACTGTCAGCAGGGTGTCTTGAGATCATGTACTGGCCAGTCTTGCTACATTTCTGTTCATTAACATCCCTGGGATTCATCAAGTACCTATTAGTTATAAAACTATGTATAAATAGAAGATGAATTAATGTACAGAGTCTCTCACACACACACAAACCAGGTCTGGAGTTAAGAGTCCTTTTAAGGTTTACAGGAACTAATCATGCCACAAAAGGAAGCCCTGGGAACACCCAGCCCCCACTGTTCAGCTACCTTCCCTCCCAGTGCCATTGGTACTTAGAGTGATGTTTACAGTTCGGGTCATTTCAGACATTTCTAAAGACTCCTAGGATTCCAGGTGCTGATGAACTATACAGTTTCAACATGGAGGCCAGCCACTGCTTTCCCTTTCAGTCAAGGCATCTCTGATTTTTTTTGTGGGGGAAACAGGGAGTTCTAATGTGTAACTAGTGTGGAAAGTCACTGCCCAGTATCAAATATCCTGAGCTTACCTGTATACACAAATGCCACCAAAGTCAAAGTCTTCATGATAATAGTCTCTGTGTGTGGAAGAAGAGTCTGAGTATGCTGCGTCATCCTTTGTTGTTCATCATGCTCAATGGACTCCAGAAATTGTGTGTATGTCCGGACACTGCAATTTAAGAGAGAAATTTGAGAACCTGGAGAGATGTCAGTGTACAGGCAGAAAGACAATTACAGAGAATGAGACCTAGGAGGAAATTGCAGTTATTTTACTTTGAAAGAGAGAATTCAGAATGGCAATAATAATGATCTTGCAGAAATTAGGAATTATTACACTGAAGTTAATGACTGGATTTCCTTCATTTGCAAACAGAGTCAAGTAAATACATTTTCAGGTTTAGCAAGAACACTTTAGTGTAGAACCAAAAGATAAAATAGCAATCAGATGCTAAGCTTCTTTAATCAAAGAAATAGCTCACTCAGTACACTATGAAATGTTTTAAAGGCAATATAAATTCTTATCTGTTTTATGTATTAAATGTAATACTACCTGAAAGAACAGGGGTTAATTAAAGAAACTTTGTTTTTCAAACCTGTGAATCAGTGATTTATCTTCACATTAAATCAGAAGGTATAGATCTCAAACAATTAACCTGGTGCTGCCAGGAAAGGAACCACTTTCTAATCATGTTAAGGAACTTAGTGGTGAGGAAGAATATATATTCCAGGGGTTGTGAACTCAGATACGTACAGGGGTCCACGGGTATCATGAAGGAGTGATGCTAACAGCTTAGTATAATGAATTATGGAACTTGTGGTGTATTAGAAAGTGTGTGACCCATGTAAACAAACAACCACTGCTGACTCTGACCAGTGGTTCTCATGTCATAATGTGCCTATATTGTCAGATCTTTGGTTCTATCAAAAAAAGAAAAAAAAACTGGAAATTAGAATATTAGGTGACCTTTTTTTTTAAAAACGTTGTCAAAATGCTCACATTTATGAAAGTAGTACTAAACAGGCAAATCTATGCACCCATGTGGGCTGTAAGTTAGAAACTTCGTTTGCCATTTAGGTCACTAGTTAACCACCATGTTAGTTAAACAAGTAAATGAAGCAGAGTTGATTGAACTCTAAAGCTTAGGAGAATTAATCTACCAAACCTTTTTTTGTAAGGCTTAAATAAGGTCCCTTCCAACTCTGTCAATCTTTTGACCTACCATTTCTTCTTGTCTGTCAATATTGGGTGACTTAATGCATTACAGGTGGTAGGAATTGAAAGGAATTACTTATTTCTCTTAGCAATGTAATTTTATTTAGTAAAACCATCTTTAGATTTAAAAAACCATCCTAACCAATACTTAGATTTAAAATAGTTTGTTGCTTCACTAAAGATACTGCTGATGCTGTTAGATTTTCAGAAATGCACTTATATATGTCATAGACATGTCACTTTGGATCTTTGAACTAACATTTATAACCCTAGCTGCATGAGGCACGTCTGACTCAAAAGCCTACTTACCCTTTTACCACTTGGTGACATACTTTATTTCTCTTTTATAAAATATTTTAAAAATAACCCACCTCCACATGAGTAGTAACAGCTGGGTTTCTGAAATTCCCTTCCCTTTAGACAGGAGAATATGCCACAGATGAAGAGGAGGACGAGGTCGGACCTGCTCTTCCTGGTGGTGACATGGCCATTGAAGTCTTCGAGCTGCCTGAGACCGAGGACGTGTTTTCCCCCTCAGACCTGGATACAAGCAAGCTCAGTCACAAATTCAAAGAGGTAAGTTGCCTATCTGCAAAATATTTTTCTCTACCCGTCCATTTCATTATTAAGTATATACTTTTGTTAGAAAAATATATTAAGAATAATCAGCTTTCAAAAGAATGCCTTTCAATTACAGATTGTCCAGAATCTCATTGAATTTCAAGGCAAAAGTCAAGTAGATCTCATTTTACAGTCATTAATTTAAATGCACTAAATTAATACAATCATTATTTGTCATGGTGACAGTTTCTAACTTGTCTGTTCCATAATTTCAAGCTACAGCTTTAATTTGCATCTTTTTGTGTGATAAGTTCAGGTTGTATTTTTAAAGCTTTATGAAAGTTTCGGGAACTGGTTTCCTCAAAGGCAGTGATTGCTAAAAAGGATTTTTTTTTTTTCTTTTCCTAAACTAGACAAGATTCCAGCAGGGATTAGATGGTATTCCCAAATGGCTTAATTGAAGAAAGTTCAATTTCTTGAAAAAGTTCAAGGAAAAAAACCACTTTTTAAAAACCTTTTGATTTTATCTCAGAATATGGTTGAATGAACGTTGAGCAGAGTTAACAGAACTACCAAGTGATATTACAGTGCACAGGGACCAGCGGCAGCAGAACTGATACCATCTTTTGACTTAATGGGTGAAGAGGGAAAGAGAGAACCTTTTTTTGAAGGCGGGCCATTCACCATCTGCAGCTTTGTAAGATGCAGCCACTGCTAAAACCTACAACTTGGGAGTGAGGGTGATAATATACCAAGACCCTCCTCTCTGGCTGATGCTGCCCATCAGTCTAATCCAGGTAGGAGAGCCTGGGCGATTCAGTCCTGAGGCAGGAGCTGTCAGAAATGGGCCAGGATCCCCAGGGGGCGAAGGGAATGTAGATAACCACAAAACTCTTCTTCCAGATTAACTTCTCAGAACCTCAACATGTAAAACGGAAACAGTGATGAATGAGTCCCCAGGCATTTCACTCTCTGTTGTTTCGTGGAACTTCCTCCATTGTTGACAACAAATATGTCATTATTTACAACCTTCCTGCAATAACTCTGAACCACTGAGACTTGAAAACCACTGTTCTGTGGTTACAAGTCTCTTAGGGACCTGACCCCACTTGGAAAGCATATTTTCCTATTCAAGAAAAACAAGGTTGATAATTGCAGATTTCTCATATCTAACTTTGATGTGTTGGAAATGGGGACTTGTAAACTTTTGTTTATTTATTTATGTCTGTGCTGGGTGCGCGCTGCTGCACGCAGGCTTTCTCTAGTTGTGGCGAGGGGGGCTGCTCTGTCCCGAGGATGCCTGGGCGTCTCGTGGCGATGGCTCCTCTTGTTGCCGAGCAGGGCTGTAGGGCGCCTGGGCTCTGTAGCTGCTGCATGGCCTGTGGGATCTTCCGGGACCGGGGATGGAGCAGGCATCTGCATCACAGGCAGAGCACCAGGGAAGCCCAGCAGGGAAGTTTATATGTTCTCCTGTTATACCGGAGACACCTAGTATATTGACTTACCTTTTTAATTCCTCATGACACATTTGTGAGGCCAGCGTCACAGTGAGTGTACTTTTCACATATGAGGTTTTATTAAATAAAACAGCTTATGTTCATTATAGGGTTTTGGAAAGTACAGATTTGTATAAATGCCCAAGAAATCATTCATAATCCCAATATTGTGTTATTTGATATTATAGGATATATACTATGTTAAACTCCTGCTCTTGACACTAAAAACTGTATTTTTAGGATCTTCCCATGTCCAGAGAAGGCAATGGTAACCCACTCCAGTACTCTTGCCTGGAAGATCCCATGGATGGAGGAGCCTGGTAGGCTGTAGTCCATGGGGTCGCTAAGGGTCGGACATGACTGAGCAACTTCGTTCACTTTTCACTTTCATGCATTGGAGAAGGCAATGGCAACCCGCTCCAGTGTTCTTGCCTGGAGAATCCCAGGGACAGGGGAGCCTGGTGGGCTGTCGTCTATGGGGTCGCACAGAGTCGGACATGACTGAAGCAACTTGGCAGCATGTCATCCTTCCAAAAATGATGCTTATTTACTGTTTATCTTATGGGTCTTATATAATTTACTTCATCCCTTGCTTTGGAACAGTTCCTCTATTTCCAGGTCTTTTTAAATTATTAAAAATAATACTGTAACAAATACTACATTTTCCTTAAGATAATTTCTTACAGTGGAATTATTATAGAGTGTGAGTATTTGGAGGACTTGTACTTAGTACCAAGTTGCCACCAGCACGGTCTTTTTCTTGGTAATACAGAAATTTGTTACGTCTCCCAATGAATGTGTTTAGGATGCCCATTTCTCTTCCACATGCTATTATTAGTCAGATTGAACCATTCCCATTTATATAGTTCACAGAGTCCTTCAAGCAGAACATGGGTTTTCCAGATGATATATGACTATTCCTAGTTCTAAATCAGACACAAACGTCTTGGTGACAATGAAGTACACTATTATGTAATGATCAGAATTCTCTTAGAGTAGAATAGCAATGCCTATCTTAGGACCATTTCTTATAAAGGCTCTCTAGATTAACTGATACCTTCAAAGAACAATGCAGAGAAGTGGCCAGGCGGAAGTGGTATAATCTGTTTCTCCTCAGCTCTGATGTAGCCTAAAATTACATATTGTCTGAAGAGTAGATGAACTGTTTGTTCTTTAAAAAATCTTCCTTGAATATTGTAACTCTCAATCTAACTTCGAGGCAGTGAGGACAAGGTTGTGTTCCCTGGCAAAAGTCTATTATGTAGCTTACATGTTGCCAGGTGAATATGATCCCTACTCTTTGGAAGATAATTGAGCTGGAATCAGAGTACCTGTTTTCGTTTTTTTTTAAATGGAAGTTAAAGAGCTTAAAAAGCAGAAATAGTAAATAAAGGTTATAGCCTCCATTTTCTGAATTGAGCCAAGTACTCAATACTCCAGAAATATTGTTTGAAATGGACTCTATAGTGCAGACAGCTACATGGTCTAGACTGGGGGTCAGCAAACTATGGCCCATTGGCCAAATCTGATCCACTGCGTTTTTTATCAATAAAGTTTTACTCAAACACAGCCAGAGACATCCATTTCTATGTTGTTATTTGTTATTGTCTACTTGTTTGTGGCTGTTCCATTCTACAGCGGTAGAGCTAACTAGCCGCTCGGAAGCCACATGACCTCTGAATCCTGCAGTGCTGCCTGCACCTTGCAGAGAATGGCTGCTGAGGTCGGTGCGGGCTGCTCTGTGGTCTGGGGCCGCTCTTTGTGACACGGCTGATTCAGCTTTAGCCTGAGTAACCAAACCTGCACTTTTAACTTGGCTGTTAAGAGCTGACCGTTTGTCACCATCTCTAAAACAGGCAAATACTGTGTCATTTCACTTAAAATCCTTTTGTTCTCTTTTGTTTTACATTTAACATATGAACATATTCATTTGTTCGGGGGTTTACCGCAGAGTGTCAGCTGCCTGGCGCTCTGTCACAGGATCTGTGTCCTGTACGCTGCCACTGCCACAGTTTCAAACTTCTTTACGTGATTAACATCACATGCCCAAAATTAGGCACAGAATCTGGGGTGGAGGTGCAGAGGCATTTTGTGTTGGAGTCTGTAAAAAAATCTCATATTACAGAAAGAGTTCTCTTAATTCTATTATTTCAACCAAAAGTATACATTATACTGTTTGGGCAAAGTGCATTATACTAACATTCTCGCAATCATCCCTATTTTTAACATATTCTGTATCTTGCAACTGAACTCTAACCTCCTCTATTTTCTGTTGAATATTTTATCCAGTCTTTGCACAGTTCTTGGGATATACTTAGTGGTTATATTCATATTCAAACATTCATATTTGGTGAATGAATGGTATCAAGCATATACTAGAATTTGTTGTATAATACAAGACAGTTATTTAATTTCCCAAATAGTTGACAAGGGGGCTAGCACATTTATTAAATGCTCGTTTAACCATTTCCTTCTGGTTGGAAGGCCAGCATTTTTATCTGCAGTATTTGTCTTTACACTCTGGACTGCCTTTGACCTTCATATTCTGTTTCATTTTCTCATTAATCTTTGGCGCAGTAATGTTAGAGTATATATAAAACATTAATGAAATAAATCAGATCCACCAACTCTTCTCTTCAAAAATTCCTTTACTTTTCAAGTTATTCAAGAAAACACTTGAATCATTTTAACTCCCTTGAAGAAACTTCTTTGCATTTTTTATTGTAATTTCGTTAAGCTAGTAAATTAACTTGTAAAAAACTGGCATTTTTATCACATTGACTCTTTTAAGCCAAGTTCATGGAACATATCTGATTAATTAAAGTCTCTCTGACCCTCTCTCAAATTTTATACTCCCCTCTATTATGTGTCACCTATAAGTAATTGAAAGTCTTAACCAGAGTGGATTAATCAAAAGCTGCCACAAAGGTTATATTAGCTCCAATATAAGTAAAGAAGTTGTATTTATTTTTCTATTTTCAGAAATGACTTTTATAAAAGAGACTTAATGACTTTCATAAGATCAAAATTTGTGTTCCCTGAAAGTTTGTTATTACTCAGCTATAAAACCATATGTCTATTTGTGGAGGAAGATTTTTAGAATACATTTTATAATAGCTATTACTCTTTTCAAGTTTTCAAGTTTTTCTTGGGCCAGCTTTGGTATTTTGTATTTCTCAAGAAATTCATATATTTCCTCTAGGTATTCATATCTATTAACTTATATTTTTACAATATGGCTTTAAAATATTGAAATCTTTAGTAGCCATAACTAGTTACCTTTTTTATTCTTTTTTTCCTTTGAACATGCTCAATTTTTTCTTAGTTTTTTCCTAGGATTTATCTGTCAAGTTAGTTTTACATTTCCATTTTTTATTTTTAAATTTAAAAATACGTATTTTTTCCTATCAATATCTTTATTTTTTCTCCTGTTTTATTTTTTGGTATCAGTTGCATTGAATACATTTATTTTTCTGATAACCTTTATATTTTGATAAGTATATTTAAAGCTATAATTTT